CAGATATTATGATAATAGGATGAAATTGCGTACTTAAGTTCAGATTTGTTGACTGGTATTTCCTGTGTAACGTGATCGCAGTGGTCAGCTGATAATGTTTTCTGAGATGGGGGAAAACATCGCGTCATTGGAAAACTTGAGTTTATTGAAAATGTTAGTAAATTTTGGGAGCTATGCTTTACCACGCTCTAACCGAGTTAGCACTACATTGACTGGCGCAATAACGAGGGAACACTGTATATGAATCCATTCTCTGTCAGCTACAGTTTGTTTCAAGGCATCAATAGCGGTAATCTGACTGTGGTTGCTGTTAATAACGGTGAGTTGTGCGATCTTCCGATCGCTTCACACACGATTTCGCTGAAATTAATTAAAACAATATTAAATGGATAGCTAGACTCTGTAATTACATCATTAATTTGCATACTTCAGTATGGATTTGTTGACATGTTATTTCCGGTGTTACGTGCTCACGGTAATGTCTTTCCGTTGGGGGGGGGGGACATCAAAACTCATTATTGCGTGTATAACGCGCACCCCCTTCTACACAGCTGTTTTTTTTTTTTAAAAAGTGCGCACTATACTCAAGAAAATATCGTAAACCTAAACCATCAAGAAAGAGCACTAGATTTCCAGCAAAAACTCTACCAGACTCACTACTAAGAATAGGATAAAGGGAAACATGTCTCTTCATGGGAAGCATTCCCCCACTGAGAGACATTTGGGTAATGCAAGGGAGCAAGTAAAATTTCTGTCCACCCAGCTGCTAGTTGAAATGACTAGATTGAAGGATCTCAACACTGTCAACAAGCAGATGTTCAACATCAGTACATCAACAGCAATCGTTTGCTGCCAGTATCAAATATGTCATTCCCTCAATCAATCAGGTTGCAGATAAATCCTTGGACGACAGAGTTGACGTGAGCCTGGAACAGTTGAGTTTCGTTCCCAGCTTCGTTATCAAGACCATTTCCTCAAGATGCAAGAGGATCTCCAGTCAGCTCAAGTATGGACGTTGGCACAGTTTTATCTACATAGTGCTACCACCTCTTACAGCAGATATGTCAGAACATCCGAGAGCTGCTGCAGAGAAGCATGCTGTCACAGCCCATCACCTTTACCACAGTTCTTCAACCACAGACGTCATTCCATCAAGGAAGAGATTGTCCAGTCGACCCATCACAAGTCCAGAATTCTACCATCAGCCTGACTTCCAGAATGTAGAAACATCCAGCCGATAATCATGTTCAGTGAACTCCTCCCAAGAGAGGACATGGGACATCAGGGCGGGATTCTTTCATGACCCATCCCAACAAGACAGACAAGCATGTCTCAAGGCCAACTCCACCAAGAGTTAACAGACCTTTACAGAGTGTGACAAAGGCAAAGGCAGAGACACTCCAAGAAGCGATCCCTGTTGTGTGGCTCTCCAGTTCAATATATTTCTCCTAATCCTGTCAACTTGGCCTGTCTGACGGACATTGATTGCAGACTACTGGTATTCAACACAATGCCAAGCACGGGACCAATTGGGGTTCATCTGATTGATTCTACAACATCCTAGACTTGTGGTCCATCCCATAGGGTGCTAATTCCATCTGGCTGCCTCAAACTTGGCCATACATATACCGTATTCGACGTAATAAGCGCCCAGGGCGCTCTCAAAATTAGAAATAGGGGGCTCTTATTAAAATATTATTTTGGTGGAAAAAAACAGAGTTGAAAGATAAATTTCGTGGTTTATGCTGACGGTCTGAACTGTTTATATACGACAGATATATTTTTCGAGATTAATTAAGGGGGCATATAACACACGAGTGCGTATTATACACGAATAAATAAGTCTTGTGTACATTGATCAATCGGAAGGGATGCTAATTTGGGATTGTTCACTTGCCAATATATTAGCAAATATCGCCATGGGCGCTAATTAGAGCGGGGCGCTTATTACGTCGAATACGGTACTTGTAGTCAAGGTGCAATCAGGGTATTCAAGGGTTAGACGCCACCAAGGGATTCTCCTCCCTTGCCAGTCTTTCTGTTTGTGAAGAAAAATGCATCGGACATGCACTTGATAATCGACATGAAAGTACTCAACAGGGATTATCTCCCTGATAATGATCTCCCAAATCTCAAATTGAATCAATCCAAAAGCTAAAGAGCTCCCCCGGACATGAAGACTGGATGATAGGTCACATCATTTCATCCCCATTCATCCCAGTTGTCAACCTTATTTACGATTCGCAGGTTTACTGTTTACCTAGATTATCAAACCTGTCATCGGGTTTGCTCATCTAAGGCTATTAAGACTGCACTGATACATCAATGACTCCCTATCAGCTGATCAGGACAAGTTGCAAAACAAACAAAATGCAGTCTTTCACATTTAGCTACTCTCATAGCTGTGTTTGCTGGTTCACTTCAACAAGACAAGTCAGAGTTTGAACAAATCCAATACATTGTCTATGTAGGGTCAAGGTTACAGCTTATCAAAGGAACTCTTGAAAGCTACTCAAGAGCAAGAGATATAATCTGAAGTGCACACCTAGGTCGCATGGTTGGTGGATGTTACATCTAGGTACATTAACATCTCTAACTTACAGAGGGAGGCTGCAGTTATGTCCCTTACAAGCCTGGATAAAGAAACCCAGAGGACTAGAATTTGCATGACCTAACTGAACCCCCACCAGCTCAATGACATTGGTGGATTCAACGTCTCATATTACACCCACCACTTCACCACCTCTACTCAGGTGAAGGGAAATAGTTTTGGATGTAACACTGTACAAGCCACCAGGAAATCATGTCATATTAGACATCAGTACCGAATATGTAATGTTTCAAATAAATATGTCAAGATCACCGACAGGACACAATGGTGACATCTTCAGTTGGAAATGACAACATATTTATGAGCCCTAGAAGTTGTAATGGATACTATTAGGTGACAACAGAAGTATGTCAAATACCATACAAAGGCAAGACAACTGATGCCATAGAATTGGAAGTGAGGTCTTAATATGCCCAAACTAGAGGCTCTAGAAGAGAATATCACAGTTTACCTCTGTATTCCTGTTATATATATTCCCATTTAACTGCTGGCAACTATCTGGGGATACTAGATGCCAAATCCCACCGGTCCCTCTGGTGTATACCTTCTAATGATGTAATATTGGTGAGAAAGTCATAGGAATTAAGAATACTACCTATATTACATCAAGAACTAGTCCCACTCATCTCCTCATTATATCTGCATCTAGATGATGAGGGTTTTTGGTTGAAAGAAGTGACAATTTCCCACTGTTGCATCTTGCAGAGGATAGGGTTTCCCTCACGTCTGTTAGATATGAATGGCAGTGAAAAGGTTGTCTGTTGAAAAATCTACAGATTTTATAGTGTGATTGCAGCCAAAGCAGACATTATGGCTAATGTGGTATTATTCTTAGAATTAAACACAGTGATAACTATTGTTTGATTTCTGGTGTCCCCAAGCCGTGATATTGCGAAAAGTGGTGTAAAACCACTCACTCACTCATAGTTTTATTTAATGTTATTTGGTGCATGTTTCTTATTGGCATTTTTTTTATGATCTAAAACATATGATTAGGACTGATGTGAAGATTATATGGATCAATGGTAGCCTAGAATTGTTTAAAGTAATGGTACCTAGACTTTTGGTCAGGATTATAAATGTAGGTAGGGCCGGGAACTGGAATCAAGAAAACTTGTTATGGTTTATCATATTAATGTCATGTGTAAGTGATCTGTGAAACCGAAAATGCTTGTGAATGAATTATTTGAATTGTAACATTATTACAACTGACCTTTCTGTAATCGCATCAACTTTTTAAAGTTCTTGAAATGATATATTATAAAAATCTGCTCTAATCCCAAGTTTGAAGCTAGTTTATGAGTATAAAAACACACACAGGCAAAAGATTTGGAAGTTGAGACAGTTGTTTTGGGGCTTGTCCTTTCACACTCTTGAAAACAAGGAGAAGGGTTTTGTCCTGGATTCTGAATTTGATGGCAAGCCAATGAAGAGTTTTCATGGCAGGAGTGATGTGTTCAATCTTTTTGGTTTTGGTGATCAATCTAGCTGCATTCTGGACTTTTTCTCATTTGTACAAAAGATGATTTGGGAGGCCAGTGAGTAGGCGATTGCAGTAATTTTAGGCGAGATGTTACGTAACCCTGAACTAGTGCAGATGTTGTTTTCAACCCATGTATCTGCAGATCATGCTGATGTTATGAAGATGGAAATACGCTCTCTGGCAGAAGCTGTTGATGTGTGGTTCCATACTAAGGGAGGAATTGAATAAAACACTGCACTGAGGTTGCAAACTGGTGCATTAGCAGTGATTTCACTTTGTCCAATACAGATTTTGTGAGGTGAAAGTGTTTTCTAAAGGGCAAGAGGACAAAAGACAATAAGTTTGATTTTATCATCATTGAGCTTTACACAATTTGAAGACATCCAGTTTTTAATACTGTTAACACACTCTTGGACTGATGAAAACATGGTTTCTGCTGAAGTATAGTCCAGTGGCTTAAATGAAATTAAATCTGGGTATTATGTGCGTACAAGTGCATACTCAAGTTGGAAGACCTTAATATATCAGCAGGCCAAGTACTGATTCTTAGGGAACCCACAACATCACCTTTCCTTGACTGTAATATTTGACCCTGAATGACCACCGACTGCTTCCTGTCTGAAATATGACTTGAACCACTTCAAAGCCACATCTTTGACATGGAATCTATTTGTGAGTGTAGATTGTAGAGCAGAGTGGTCGATCGTGTCAAAAGCAGCCGAGAGCTCCAGCAAAACAAGATATGTTGCTCCATTGTTGTCAATTCCTCTGAGGATGTCATTCAGGACTTTATATTTTCACAATACTGCACAAAAACATAAATTGTTCACTGGACATGCTGGATGTTGTGAAAACCATTTAATGGCGAGTTCCTTACTTCATTTGATTTTTCTTTTCTTTTTTCAGATGTGTGATATGCATGGGAGATTTTCTACTGGGAGATATGTTGCGATTTTTGCCATGTATGCACACATATCACAAAGATTGTATTGATGACTGGTTAATGCGGTCATTTACATGTCCTTCCTGTATGGAGCCTGTAGATGCTGCGCTTCTTACCACATACGAGACAAGTTGATTGACTGGTAGTTGTAGGAATACTGAGCCAGATGGTCGGTGCTAAGATTAGCAAGCTTACCTACAACACAATTTCTGTGGCTAACTCTGGCTTCTCCAATCAGAAGTGTGTGATGGTGTTAAGGAGACTGAAGTGCCAGCACTTGACCCAGTGGAAGAGTTGGGCACACAGTTGTACTGGAGATCCCTCCTTCTGCCTGGGAGTCTGTATATATATGTCATCATACTGTACACAGTGCATGTTTCTTATCCACATATCCACTTAAAGTTAAGGTAACAGATGTAATCCTTGATCTAATTTATATTCAACATGTTTTAGCTATACATCCACACATGCTAAAGTGCAAGTAAACTCATCATAGAAACTTTTCAGATTTTAATACTTTAGGTCATACTTAATCACACATGCTTGACCAAAGTTATATTTGTAAAACGGAAATAGCATAAAACAGATGATAAAAAATGACAGGTGAAATCATCCCTCCAATATCTAGGGGGATTCCCCTCACTGGGCTTAAAAACAGGTTCCTGGCATAAGACATATTTAGAAATGGTACACATCCTGTTTTAGGAATAAACATTGTATTGATATATGGTATTACCACATATACCATAACTCAACATAGAAAGTTCTCCTGGATAATGCGCATTAATATATATTATCCCACAAGGTCAATGTTAAGCCAATCGGACAGTTACAGTCAATATAGTTCGAGCTGAAACTTGTCTAAAAGTAAACAGTGGTGTAATTTGACCGCCCATTTGATATTCTGGGAGTAGGGAGCCTTGGATTTATCGAAAAATATAAATTGTCCCCAAAAATTCTTGAAAAAAAATTTATGCTTCAGACCATTGATAAAAGGAAATTGCCTGCCACAAAACTTATATGTTGCATGGTGTTTTTCTTTTTTTTAAAAATCAGGCTCATAGTTTGAAGTAATAAAAATCTGGTTTTGTAGCTGTAGCTGAAAAAAATTCTCATCTCGATACAAAATCCCAGTCCTCCTCCAGAATATCAAATAGTTGGTCCCTAACTACCATAGAGGCAAAGAGACAATTGCCTATAAGTTTTTATGGTCAGTGATCGCCTTTCGCTGCAATCCAGGTCGGCCTGATAGAAAAAAGGGAAGCTACTCTCTTCTATGAGTTCGAGTCTGCCTAGCCTGTCATTTCATTATGAAATAATGTCAGACAGCAACAAAATATAGCCAGATACAAATTTGTTTGTCCAAGTCCAACTGTTTCAAATTCTGGAAAAGAACCCATGCCATAGAGGTCTGTCTACAAGCACTGATTATGGAAACTGTGTCTGCTAGCATCCTCTCACACATTGCTTCAGAGTTTGTTATTTTTTCCAGTTACGCCCTTAGCATCTTAACTGATTACAATTATCCCAGTAATTTGTCTGTATTCCCAAAGGTCAATTCTGACTCGATCGCTAATAGAAAAGGGAGGAGTAATATTTGTTTGTAAACACCGACTGTTTGTTTTTGCACATTTATTTGTAAATGACCCAACGGATCCTGTTTTATCTGTTGGCTTTATCCTGCTAAGGCACCTAAACATTGCATGATATAATGAGTTATTTAGCAGAAGTTAAAACTACTGTCAATGTTTGGTAATCCATAAACCAAATATATAGTCTCATTAATGCAAATTTTGACTTCATGATTCGAAACCTTTACTAATAATGAAACTAAGAAGGTTATTATCTATGAATTTATCAGCTTTTGTTGTTTAATCCAACTTATAGTAAACATGTTAGTGAAACCAGTGAATTGAATAACTAACTTAAGGTCAGAAGTTAGTATACTAATATACAATATGTGTAATATTTTCTTTTAACACTTAAATTAATGTCCTAACAGCTCTGCTGGAAATGTGTCACTAGACTTGTTAAGAGGCTGGATATGGGTGGGCAGCTACTTTTAACTCGAAATGAAAGATGCTGGGATTGTTTTCTCAACAGAACTGAGGGTCCAAATGAGTTTATGGCATGATGAATTTTCTGTCATCTGTCATTTCAATCTGTTTACTTTTTTCTTCTTCTCGAAACAGCCTGAACAAATGAGCCAGCAGCTTTAGGGATTCATGCAGTACCATTCAGGATTTGTTAATAATTACCTTCTTATTTTTTACAAAACTGAAAAAAATACAAGATTTCTTACAAAATCTTTAGAAATAGAATCTTTTACAAAGAAATCTTTAGGTCAAGGAAGCTGATTAATATAAGAAGCAAGACAACTGGATTTGCATATGCCAGTTAGTAAGAAACGATCCTTTGTTCAATTGTTTTGTAAGATACTTGAAAGAGAAACCACAAGGTCCAGAAAGATAAATCAAACTTTTAAGGATAAAAAAGTGATGAAGCTGAAAGCATATAGATGACAATGATTATAAGTTTCTTATAGCATTGTTCAGCTTACCATCAGTAGTTTATTGGAATATGGATAGAACTACTCCACACTGTTTGGAGTGCCTCCGTCGTCTAGTCTTCCAGGGAGAGCTGAAAGTCAGTGGTTCAAACCCTGCCCACGTCATACCAAAAAGATAAATGAGATAAGACAAGGCCTGGTCATTTTGGAAGTCAGTATACTATGTCTGAGTGGGATATCCATGTTAAACTGTGACCATGGCATATCAATGGGGAAACACTGTAAAACTGTACTCTGGACTAGTACAAACACATGTACACACTTTGCTATAGAAGTGCAATAATCTTCACACTGTTTGGAATCATAGGACTTTGCAGTAATGCCATTTTAACTTATCTTCACTGTGCAACATTGCCAACTTTTGCCAAGGACAGTGTACTCGTATGAAGTGGAATATGTATACATAGCCCAATGAATGTGATTATGTCTGAACACCTACCTTTTTTTTCTTATCACCTGCAAATTTAGGACATGTGACAGAAGAATGATGCTAAGGAGTGAATAACATAAAGTAAAATCAGATCTTAATTTTCACTACCTCTAAACAAAGATCTGAGGTCATCCCATATGGAAGGAAGAGAATTTATGGATGTGTCAACTTCTCTTTTATCAGGAACAAAGTTTCAAAGTATATACAAACCTCTTTTCAGATGAATAAATGCTATGAAGCAGAGAACATCTCTCATTAGGAGTCTTGTTAGAACGACCTTTTGCAAACCTTGACCGACCAATGAAATGACTAGCAAGAAGTGGACATTAGCCAAACAGAAAGCAGCTTTCTTAATCTTTACCGCATTAGTTTCAAACTGGCAACTTTTTTTCCAGACTACACTTTGAAAAACATTTTTGAAATATTCTCTATTCAAAATTTGAAAACTGAACAAACTGAAATTCTGGAAAAGGTCGTCGAGATTGTATGGCAGTACTTCCCACATGCTATGGAAAGTCTTTCGTTTCAAATGTTTATCCAACAGAACTGAGAGATAAACAATGATTTGACTGAATCAATTGTACAGACAGTCACTGTCATTTGGAATATCCCTTTTCGAGGTTGCTTGATTAGAAAACATATTCCAACTGTCACTTCATGAACTGGTAAGCAAAGCTTTGATTGGTCATGAAATAATATCAAATACAAGCTTTTTAAACATATTAACTTACCTTTGCATTTGATGTTTGATAGTCAAAATTATGTAAATCTTGTGAAGACAAAATGGTAGGTCTCAGTCTTTAGAATTCTGCTGTTAACTTCCTAAAAAATACTTAACGTCTCATTTCTGGCTGACTTGAACTATACTGGCCATTTTAAGCAGTCATTTAAGTGATGCTGCAAGAAGTTATTCCCTCAGATCTGTTACACCAAGAATGCTATTACACAGTCATCTCAGTAACCATAATAGATTTTAACATGTCAACATAAAAATTTCACACTTTTTATGATAAACAATACAAAAATGTATAAGCAGATTCTTTTTAGAAGGCATATAGCTATGATAGTGGTTATACCATTTAAATACTGATGTATGACAAGTGACGACCATCTAATGATATCAGTGGTAGGACTGTGATTTCGATCAGTAGCATATGGAATTCTTTTATTGTTACCGGTTCTTTGAATTACACCAAGGGATGTCATATTTGATTTATATGATGGATATTTTCAGCAAAAGCATGAAATTTGGTATTGAATTGTAAAGCATTTGGGCCCTGAAGCAACCAACTGTGTTTGGATGAGAGCAAAAGCACATGTTTTCAAATAGAAACAATCAAGCATGTGGTTGAAATTGAAGGTCACTTAACCAGAAGTAACTGGAGGCAGGGTACGTTCTGTCTTGAAATTATCTTCCATTATAAATGTGTTTTTTTCCCAATCTGGAACTTGTTATTAAACTGCTAGTGCAAGTATATTTTTTGTTAATGTAGCTACAGGCATAAAACTTTGTTTTGAAGTCACACTGCATATATGGCATGTCTATTCTCCAAAGGGAAGTGATGTCATTAAATCGGAAGTGCTTATACCTTCCCATGCTAGCACAGTGGGATTTTTTTTTTAAAAATTAAAAGAATTTTTCTATGGACATATTGGATGTCCGGGAAAAAATGTGTTTTGGGTGGGAAAATGTAGTTCTTTTGCTTCTCTGGTACATGTTGTATGACATTGGAGAATGTTTTTTTTGTGGAGAAACTTGCATTGTCAGAGCCCCTGGTGGTGTAAGAGGTGTGCACTGCCCACACCTGCTGTGGAAATATTAGGTTCTCGAAATACTAGTCTCATGGGACACACATTTACACATTAATTTGTGTTATATGATCACAAATCAGTTGTGGGGCTACAATCCAGCTAATATGAGGATTGTTGCAGTGGGCCTAATAGCAGCTGCTTGAATTCAAGATCCGTCACAACAAAACAACCCAGGCAGAGTAAATAAATTTTGTCATAACATATGGTCAAAGCCCACAGAGTTTGTGTGTATTTGAGCTGAGATATCACTTTGTCATACCTGTTGAAAAGAGATATGTATATACAGTGTTCCCTCGTTATTGCGCCCTTCAAAATAGCGCTAACTCGGTTATAGCGCGCGGTAAAGCATGGCTCCCAAAATTTACTAACATTTTTAATAAACTCAAGTTTTCCAAAGACACAATGCTTTCCCCCATCCCAGAAAACATTATCAGCTGATCACCACGATCACGTAACACCGGAAATACCAATCAATCCTATTATTATAATATCTGGTAATAAAAAAAATGTTCATTGTTTATCTGGACTAATGTTTGCAATTTATTTTTTTAATTATATTCAAGATTTCATTCAATAATTAGCTGCAATTAAAATAACACAATATTGGAATGTATTATTCCTGAGAAAATAATAATTTCAGATACAATTTCTTCCGACCATTGCATCAAATTTCTTTAAAGTGGTATCACTGGGTACATTTTAACTGAATCACCTGTAGATTGGGAGGGAACGTGTGCACAGCTGATTGCTATTTCCGGCTTAGTTTACGAGAAGATACTCACAGTAATCTTAATCTCTGCATATAAAACAATGCCTTTGAGAGCAGGAAATACATTTTAAATGGTAAATATTAAAATGATGTTTTATATCAAATTTCATACTTTTATTGACCAAGTTTGTTATAGATCTACCTGCTTATTCACCTGAAGGGATACAATGTGTTTTGGTTTTTTTGGAAGCGCATATTAATACTCGATAAATGTTTTTTTTACACTATGAATCATAAATAACGTCTATTCTAATCTTTTTTGAAACTCTGAAACGTGCAACGTAGATCGTGTTAGGTAGGCAGAGTATGTATACTGTTTTGGTTGGTCATCTACCACCTACGACTAGACCTTCGTTTAACCGCTGATCATCTATAACGCTCATCAATTATTTGGACCCCGAAGGTGGCGTTGTAACAAGGGATCACTGTATATTTAGAATTTAAAAGATTTGATTCTACCATGTACATGTATAGCAAAGTTTTGCAGAGAAAAGAATCTGACTATGTTATTGTATAACCCCATTATGATTAAGCATTTACTGCATTTATATTGTCCATGTTATTCAGACATGTATTGATGGATCTTTATTGCCGACAGATTTCAGTTTAAATACTTTGAACATGTTTAAGAACTCTCAGCTTCTTTATTATGATATTGTGATAAAATCTAATTGTGATAATAGTTTGTCATGGTTGCCTTTGAACTCATGTTACTGAGGAAGCATGTATGTACTAATATTGTTAAGGTGTACACATGTGAAATGTAATATAACTTGTAGATAGTGTACAAACTTTTGTTTCATATCTAGTCTTCTCGTGTATGAATGAAAAATTGTCATGCTTTGTTTGCTTAATGAAAATGATGAGAGAACTGCAACAGTTTCATGCATGTCCAATGTTTTCTTGATCATACAGTGCATATATGGTTGAGTAGTTGCTGGTGGTCTATGACATTAACAACTCCTGATACCATGAGACATTGGTTATTACTTTTCAGGTTGTAGATATGACAGATAATCAGACTTAGAGTATTATGTATGAAGTTTATTGATACATCAATGTCAAGTAATGCAGGTGATTTTGAGTAAATGTTTTGCTGACAGTTGTGAGCATATTTCCATTGGGATTACTTTCCCGTTTTTTAATAACTTGTGAGAAATTTGTTTCCTTACTCATATAATGATTACATGATGAGTTGGTATATGTTTTCATATTAAGTCATGGAGTATGGCCAAAATATCATTATAAAAATAAAAACAAAATAATTTTCAGTGTCATTTGTGTCAACATTTCTTAAAAAAATTATTTTCATTTTGTATGTGTATTCTGAAACTTTCCCAAATATCATGTTGGACTTCCTGACTGACACAATATATATCTGTGATGAGCTACAGTGCTTCTGTGTGTATGTCTTTCAAGTTTCTGTTTATCAAGCTTTTATTTTCTTTACCCTTTTGTTTTGTTTATAACTAGTGTGCATCACACATGCATAGGGATATTGTGCTTATCTTTTGTTATATTTCTTTTTCATGTTTGTATTGAAAGTGAGAGTATATGTGATGCATACTGTCATCAACAGTTGGTACAAGGATAGACATGTATTACACCACTCCATGGTATGAGATGATCATTGAAGCACATCAGTTCACAAAGATAAGGCAAAAGGCTTGAGGATCCATCTAATTTGGTTCAACCACAGTTCTCATCATGCAATCCCATCTTTAATAAATAAAGATCTTCATTTCACAAAAAGATTCTTAGCCTTTGAGTTGTGTTTCTGAGATTAGAACTGGTGATGTCCACCTTAAAGCATGATGGCCTTCTAGTTACTGCACCTGTGCACCTTACCCTTGGCATCTGAAGGAACGTTTGTAACACACTTACTTTATCACAGGTAAGGAGGCATTTTGTTGCTCACTTTTGTAACCAATGGCCTATTGTTACCTAAGCTAGACCACTGCTAGAAGCTGCTAGACCACTATGACCACAACAAGATATGGAAAAACGTAAGATGTTACTAATTACCGGTATTTGTTGACAGTTTTCTCCAGTAGGATACAAATCCACAAAGTCTGTTCCAAAGAATAACCAATGTAGCCTGCTACTATGGCAACATTACAGAAAAGGTACTTGAGAAATGCTCAGATTTGTTCCCACAACATGTCAGCCTATATGATAATGAATATTATTAGTTTGAGTTTCTTTTGGGATTTTCACCTCCACCAAACTTTAGATTGTTGATTTTGCAAAATATTATATTTTTCAAGAACTTTATTTTTATGCATCTCACAACAAAGAGAGCACAAGACAATTATGTACACTTTTATTACAGCTACTGTTTTCTTGGAGAGAGAGGTATGTGTAATTGTTGCTACAGTAATGTTTCAAGTAACTAATGCTAGATGTGTTTATTACAATATAATTAATACGTTTGATGACAAGAGTGTCTACAGAATCCACATGTGAAAATGGGTACGGAGCTTTTGAGAGCCTGAATTGGAACCTTTACAAATTCAGAAAGGAATCGCCATGATGGCTGTGTGTACACCCAACACTCGATGTGTGACCAGGTACAGGTTGATTGTTCATTACTCATCATTCCTAGTATCCTCGTTGCGGGATCCACCTCTTCCAGATATCTGAGCTTGCAGTAACCTACAAGGTAAATGGATGCTTGATTGCCACCCCAGCACCCAGTGGATTGGCCATTGTATGTCTACTTCAAGGACTTGACTCAGTAAACACAAACTTTAATATATTTCGCCAACAAGTTGTTTCCTCCTGTTGTGCGGAGATGTTGAATAGAACCCTGGTCCAACTAAGTGTAAAATCGATGCAAACAATCTTTTTGCTCTACCAGTTATTAAGAGAGATTAAATCAGTGAGATCAGACATTCAAGACTTGAAATCAGAAACTTGTAAAATGAAACTTGAAGCACCATGCAGTCACAGTTATGTGACTTAGAAGCAGAAAAGGAGATCATTCACTTGGATGTAGATGACGTAGCTGCAAAACATGAACATGTTGAATATGCAACTGAGAATCTTAATTGTAAATAAATTTGCTCATAGATTTGATACATTTGAGGAAGAGATAGACAGAATTGAACAGCATAGTCGGCACAACAATGCTGAATGAAACTTGTTCTCGGTGTGTCAGCAGTACATCTGTAATGTGTTGAACAATAACTGTATGAGAGACCAAATACGCCCAAGTGGGAATGACAATCCCAGTCACACCAATACCACCAGAAATACCAGCATCAGAAATACCACCAGTAATCAATCCAAAAGGAGGCCTTTTCATAGCAGAAATAAAAGAAATGGGAAGTAGGGTTGTCGCTGCGCCCAAATCACTGTTACTATAAGACAACATGTACAACTTCTGTTTTTGAACATACATGGTCTCCTTATTAAAATAGAACACAACTTGTCCAGTGCCTGCAAGCTGAGAGGCAAGCAATACCCTCATGGAACTTAAGACAGTGGTGCAGAGATTGTCCATTCTAGGGTGGTCATACACTATATTGAAACCTTTGTTATTCTTAATGAAATTACACTACTGTTATTGACAGCGATATCTGGGTTAACTTGTTCACAGATGTGACCACACAACATCCATACTTGAGCGCTATTGGATAAATTCCATTAAAATCATTTTCTGTCGCTACACATTTTTGTCTTTTTGTGTCCAATACCAAAACCTATGTGTTGCCCTACTTGTTTGAATAAGTATATAACATCTCAAAAGAGATCGAATGTCAATATGTGTATATTCTCCTTCAGCACCAGATAAAATGAGATGACCACATGAGACTGTGCATAACAAATCAGGCTTCCGTGTCAAGTGTGGAATCGGTTGAAAGTTGTATAACTTTGTTTGATCTCCGATTAATTTTGAATTATTGTGTTTTTCTTGGACTGTGCAGATTTCAGGTTTTATGACTGTAAAATGGTTTCATTCCATCGTTTCATGTGTTGGACAAATGCCTGTGCTATCTTACTAACTTGAGAATTCCTTTTTACTGCCAAGCTCATGGCAGCAGGAGACAGGACAAGATGATGTGCATCTAAGAGAGATGGAAGGGGAACAAATAGTTTCAGAGGATTCTTCCCAAATAATAATCAATACATGTCTGACAAAGCTCAAATCTCTTCTCAGATTAATTCGCCAACACAAGAGGTACTAACCCCTGCCGAGAGAAGTCAACATGGCCAGGGTTCAAGTGAGCTGAACTACTTGACAAGTCAGAGAGATAGTGGTAGTCATTTTAGTGCCACTTCTTGCTCTTGACGCAGTCTTGGACAAAGTGTCAGAATTACAAAGCCAGCTCTATTACGACACAGGATCGGTGGGTGATGAAGGGGACAATGGTGATGAT